TTGGAGCATTGCCTAGAACCTTTTAAGTTCATAGAAAAGCCCGCCCGAGGGATTAGTTATTGATTCCTGCCGCTACTGATTGTCTGCGATATATATCAAGCCACAATCTCAAAATTGCCCATTATTGTGTGAGATATCTTACCGTTTTGCAGATTCTTTTCTGTATTTTTCATATTGTGATGAAACTTTCTAAATCTTCAAAAATGTCGTTGCAGGGGCGTTCTCCAGGAAAGCAACGAGAACCGGCAGCGCATACGGTTCATATCCTTTTCTGTCGGAACAGACGGGCGAACCCTATCTGAGGTAAATTGAGCCGATACAGTTTTCAGGAATGATGTGCAAAATGTACTGAGTGAGTCGCTGAGACTTGTCAAAGCCGTTGGTATAACATCTCTGGTAAATATATTAACAAAACGCGTAGCCAGATTTTGCACCACCCAAAAGATCACCCGAACCCAATCCTTGGGTATCCGTTCTCTTTGTTCCCAGAATACCGATTATGGCTATTATCATGACATTAAGAATTGCACGCATTTAAAACTAAAGCCAGACACAGCTCCCCACTTCTTCCCGCTTCCCCAGTAGTGGGTGGAAAAGAGTCTAGGGGCGAGCGTTCGCTACGTCTCTGAAGCCTTTGAGTTGGGTCTCGCCGAGACTTTCATCCTTTTGGAATCAGTCGCTGTTACTTAATTAACCTTTGGCAGGACCGAACCACTGACTCGTTCAAGGCCGGTCATAGTATAGGATGAGTGGTCACTAAAAAATTTCCATTTTTCCACCTATACGACTTCGTGGACTATAAATGGAGGAGGCTGATGCACTCAACATTTTGTTTAGATCCCTCACGGATTGAAGCATTTGAAATTTTCGAACTATTCATTCATTCAAAAAATTAATTAAAAAACTTCTGTAATATTTCGGCCTGCTCAATGATATTCAAGGCGGCTATAAAGGGTCTCGTGGTGTGCCAGAGACCCAAGGCATAACGTCAAGCGGACCGAACTACATGGGAGCACTAACGAGAACAAACAAAGCCGGAAAGCACACTTTTGGAAGCTACGGTAACGATTAGCTTCTGAGAGCTACTGCATCGTCTTTGGCATGACTTGCCCATTTGGTCCTTTCAGTGTTTCCCCAAACTTGGAGCCCTTTGAAACGTTAACGGTTTCGGAATGCAGGGTGTTGACAATGCCTATCTTTAGGTAGCATCGACAGTGAGAAGGCTCAAATGTGGCAGTCGCAAGCGGTCGGTTCCAGTAGCGGTGGATACGGTAGGTCAGGTGAGTATATGCATTCCTTCGTTACCACATCGTTAGTCAGTAAAGTAGTGCAGTGCGTGAAACAGGACAGCATCGCCGTCATACCTCTGGTTGCCTCGCCTCTACCAGTTCGTTACTTGAGATTTTCCTGAATCCTTAAATGAAGACAAATCGTACGCTCACCCCCGTGAATCCTGGTGCTCGTTGTATGTGGGAAGGAGGTCCACGGTTGGAGTAACGTGCCACTTCCTCAACTCAAAAGTGCACGGAAACGGGGCTGAAGGATGATGATACTCGATACGACTCCATACCGCATCACTACCCTCCGATCCCGTTTCTGTGCACTTCTGGGGAAGTGACACCCTACTGCAAATCCGGGGTGCCTTGAAAGTTCATTCAAGATTGACCTGGACTCTGCTACCGGCCTTCTTTCCTGCTTGAAGACAAACAGAACACTCCTTCGTGGATCGTGTTGCTAGGTGTATATGGGGAGAATATGTCCGCAGATGCAGTAGCTTACCACTTCTTCAGCTTGAAATTGCACATAAACGGGAATGGAGGGTACTGTTGTGTGTCAGGTGCCACCTCCACATCGTTTCATATCTCCTCTATTCCCTCACGTTCCCCTTCTTGGTGAAGGGCCCCCTACTTCGATGTTCTCAAGAGACAAAGCGTTTTGCTGAACTCTTACCAAAGTAACAGGTTCTGCACTGCATGTGACTCAGAGCGGCGTTCAGAGCTTGCCTACGATTTCTATCACAGCTTCATTTCATTTTACATATTTAAGTTCCTGAAAATCGTATTTCAGGAACCTACGGCAACAACATGGATTACAGCAGCGGCCACTCACTTCCCACTACAGGATACGGTAGTTCAGAGCCAGCTTACAGCTCTTCTAACCCGTATAGTGCGAGTTACCAGGGCGGGTCAGACAACAGTTACGGCACACTTGGTCGGTACAGCAACAACGACTACTCAAATTACGGCAGTCAAGTAGCCAGTGGAATGAACTCACAATGGAATGGGCAGGCATATCAGCCGCAAAGCTACAGCAGCCTTCCAACACAGGGTTATGATAACTTTGGATGGCAACCGTATCCCACTCAGGAGTCATCGTGGCCACAGCAAAATTACCAAACTGCTGAGAGTGACTACACTCAGAATAGTGGTTATGGTAACATGCAGGTGGAGCAGATGCCAAGCTCTGCTTACTCGGACTATCAGTATCCGAGCTCCTCGTATAGTACTCCTAAAGTAAAAGCTGGATCCACTGGCGGATCCTATGGTGCGGGTAATGGGGCAGATTATAGTCAAGCCAATCAACAAAACTATAACTACGGTAGTTATATGAATACTGATGCCCAGACAAGCTATACGGGATCTAGTAACCAAGTTCCATCATATACATATATAGCTCAAGCTATGGAACGCCAACAAGTAGCGGATCAGACTACAGCACCGACAACGGCTACCTTCAGCAAGGGAACTATGGCAGCAGCAACAACGGCTATGTCCAGCAAGGGAACTACGGCAGCAGCAACAACAACGGCTATGTCCAGCAAGGGGAACTATGGTAGCACCAATAATTGGAATCAGTACGGCTCCTCGGATTCCAGTGGCTATCAGACCACCTATCAACCCTCGTGGAACTACGGCAGCTCCGACATTCAGAGCGGTGGCTACGATTATTATAAGCCCGCTCAGGAGTATAGTACTGCACAGAATTACGGTAGTGCCGGTTACCAAACCAGTGCTTATAATCCATCGCAGACAACAGGAAACTATGGTAACTCTTATGGGGCAAACTACAACTATAACAATGACTATCAGCAAGGCCAATATAGTAACTATGGTGGTGGACCGCAAATGGAGTTCACGATGAATGTTGGATACGGTAGCAGCAGGGCATCAAAAGGTACCAAGGGTAAGCAGTCACTCACCAATAACGCAGCCCTAAGTAGCCTTGACGAAGATGGTTATAGAATCACAGCGAAGTAGTAAATAGAATTTTATTGTATATATTGGCATAATTGTGTGCCATTGTTTCCAATGCAATGTGTGCTCAACGTCTAGGTCTTTGAAAAAGTGATCGTAATAATAATAATGTAATTTAAAATAAACATTCTCAGTTTGTTTTAATTAACGTTTGATCGCTTTCGGCAATTAATTTTCATTAAACTCGATTTATGAGGCGCAGACAGGAGACACTTGTTGAAGCGATGCGGCGTTGTACCCTATGCATGGAGTGGGCGTGGCTACGCACCTCATTTGAACGTGGTTGCAGCTGACGGAATATTACCGCTTCGAGACAATGTTCATATCTTTGCCCAGCACAAGAGGATGGCAGTTGTCCCACATGGAAATATAAAACGATATATGTATATTCTTCCATGCGAAACTGAAGTGCGCCGCCACGCCCCCTATCTTCGGATAAAAGGATAAAGTCTTCGCCGTTAATCAATCCCTTTGTGGGATGCGGCACGCATTCTACTTCCATTCAGAATCGTAGTGGCTTATTGAATGCGATGTGGCCTATACAATGACTTGCGGTGGCCAGCCGATGTAGTCAGTGTTTTATCCTCCCAGACGAATCTGGTACCAATTTACCGTCCCCGGAGGGTAGAAGGCTTGGAGATGCGAAACTTCGTCGCTGGGCGGGTTGACCTTGGGCATTCGAACTCAGGACCGCGGCGAGTGGTGAGACGCACTGTCGCTACAACCACCTCCGCCTATCTCCGTGATATAAAGGGTTAATGAAGAATAATCTGTGCAGAATCCGTACCAGCAGTGAACTGATTTAATGAGGAAGTCTTACATGATGTCGAGTCGACTAGATAGCAAAAACACTGGTCAGTTCTGCGTAGCGCAGACAGCGCGAATGCTCTTGCCCACCCCCTCCATTAGAGCAACTGGCATGAATTCCTTTATGCTAGTGAATGAGCAACTCTTCAGCAAAAAAGGGGCTGAGTGCTGTGAGCTCCAGCTGACATAAATAAAACACTGCTACTGCTACAGTAGCGAACGAAACATTTTGGAATAGTTCAATGCCAGTCTTGAGCTCTATTAGCTTCGTTCTCAAACTGTGGTGACGAGTATTGACCGGAATTTTTCCAGTGAAGCGCTCGCTGAATTACGTGTTTGTTGACTTAGAGACATGAAAATCCTTAATGCAAAGCAAAAGGCTGAGATCGATCCGCCATCACAAATAGTGGATGAGAGGATTGCACCTAGACGACAAGGTTCTGAGTAATTCGTAGTAAAGAAAGAAGCAGAAAAATGCCAGCTGCCCAGATAGAACCCCATTCCAGTCCCAGTTTGTACCCAATTACTCAACCTCCAACAATGTGCTCTCCTCTCTCAGCTGGCTCTCTGGCGAACTCTACGACCATACAAATGATGAGTTCCAAGGCTTCCTCTCTTGCAGACTTTCGTTTTTTTTTGTTTCTTTTTTTGGAAGGGGGGACTCTTGAAGGCCAGAGTCTGGAGTCTGGAGGCGGAGTTACTGGTGAAAAGGAGGCGTCACTAAATCGATATTGCGTTACAGCGCCCCTCCCTTTTTTGCCGCAAGACTGGTACAGGATTGTTCGTCGCGAACCACTCTACCCTCCCGACGCTATATTTCTCAACTTCTGTACCCAGACCGTGCCTTCAAACTAAAAAATGGAGATTTCAGCTGTTCCAATTTTTCTTCTACTATTTTTCTTTGCATATCATACTATGAAACAATGGGATTTCGCCGTGAGATCTGTGTTTAGGATACATGAAGTTACAATCATGATCCCTGGAAACGATAGGGTGTGGATAGGGGGACTGTCAAGACGCGCTTTACCAACAAAGATGCCAGGATGAGTCGGCTGCAATGGGTATGAAAACTGCCCTGGCTGTGCTCCAAGCCACGCCTCCTTCGCATGCTATTAGGTTGTTCGGAAAGAAATGCGCGTTTGAGTCTAAAAAACTTTTTATTATAAAAACGAAATTAAACAAGATCAATTCAAAAGATAATCTCCATTACTATCAATGACTTGTTGCCAACGTTTATGCAAAGAATGGATTCCTCTTTCGAAGAACTCGGCCGGCTGCGACTCAAAGAAGTTGGACACCCAGAGT